TTTGATTTTTTGTGGAATTATATGCTGTCTTTATAGGTATTGCAATTTTTTTTTAGTTTACTTGAGTATCATGTGTTCCAAAGTTGTGTTCCTTTCATGTTGTTCACTGAATTTACTTTGGAGAAGGTGGAATAGGGAAGGTGTAGAAGTGGCAAGCTTATGAAGTAGAAGGTAAAGGGCTCCCAGGTATATGGTTTCTGGGAATAATTCTTCAAAAAACCATAATTTACCCTTACAAGATGAATCTAGGAGGAAGGGAACAACTAACTACCTGGTGTTAATTGTTTTCAGTAGAACAGGAGCTCACAGCTCCATAAACATGCTTTGGAAATTTGTGTGACAGCATTACGGCAAGAGACTTATAAAAATGTGGTTAGTGTACTCTAGACTTGATCTTCGGTTATATTTTACTTGCAAAAAGTAGATTTGGGCCTTGTGTTTGGAGGCTTGGGAAGCTGGGTTTGATGTGAAAATAAGATGGAAACTGGAAAAAAGAAAGGGAAGGTGCAGAGAGAGGAGAGAAAAGAGCTGTTGAGAGCTGTGAAATGTGATTTGATGTAATGCAATGCGACTTGAGGAATTTGAAGCAAGGGATGAGTAAAGCTAGGTATAGGTGAGTAAGAGAATTAAGATCCTGTCACCTGCAATAACACAAAGGATCCAGGTTCTTTCCATCATCTGGGGTGTTTAAATTTGGTATGTTAAGTGTAACAGACTTGATCATAGAAACTTTGGTGTCACTAAGCTAAAAAGAATTTATCTTTGTACTGGAAGAGGAAAAGGATTGGCAAGGTCAATATTTAATAGTTTATAGATCTAAAACAAGTTTTAAAATTTGGTGTCTCATTAAAATAATTATAAAATTGCATTTAATATTCTAATTTGATTTTCCTAACAAAAAGTAGGTGAACTTTTACAATTTATCATCTGTAAGTCTTTGCTACTATGATAAGCACAGACGTAAGAGGAACTAGTAACATAATACAATCAAGGGTTTTGTTTTCTGACTCAGTATCCCTTCACAACCCATCCAGTCCCGAAACTAACTTGAGTGTCCTATGAATTCAGCTCTCAGGACTGCAGACCTAAAAATGGGCCTTGAGAGACTTTTTGGGCAGTGGCTGGTATATAGTAAGGTCTTGGCAAATGAGTGAATTGAATTGATTTTTTTCATATAGACCATTGCACTGCTTTAGCCACATCTACAGATTTTCTGTGCTGATTTCCTAATGAGACTGCAGAAATTCCAGAAAGGAACGTACGGTTCTCCTAGTCCAGCTCCCATGGCACTGAAGAGGAAGGCTAGGCTTGTGGCAGTGGGGCTATCTTAAGCCTCTCAGAGAGGAGTCCTTCCTTAACTCTTTCCTTCCACATGTGTCCTGCACACCAGTAAGGCCTCCTACAGCATCTTTTCAAGGCTATTTTTACTTTGTTGTTACTATTTTTTAAATCTTTGTTTCTGAGCTTCTTTTGTAAAATTGTCCAAAGGACTGGCACTTTCCTGGGAGCAGTGACTGAGTAGTCCCTGTTTCTCTCTCACCCACACCCTCACCTACCTTGGTAACTGTCTCCCTAGTAATCACAGAGATTTACTCCCCAGGCCATGTAGCTGGCTTCCTCCATCTTGCCAGCCTCTGATCAGGACCTTCCCCTCTAGTAGAAGTGACCTTGGTCTCCACCTGCACTGCACTGTCCCCAACTCCAAACTCTGGCTGCTTCTGTGTGGTAACAATGTTGAAGCTCTTTCATGTATAGATAGACTGTTGAGTCTGCTCCCTTGGGAGAAGGGAACGTTTTCTGACCTTATTCCTCAGCCCTTGGCTCATCTCATCTAACTATCTCTCATCTATCTTTCTCAGGTCAGTAGATAAGATCAGGCTCCTGTGTTTTTCCATAGTGTGGGTATACCAGAGTTTACTCAACAGGGGCCCTATTGGCATCATCTGTGCTCACTTTGGAATCCTGGTGTGGTACTGTGGGTTAATGCACTGGACTGCAAAGTTGGTTTGAACCACAAGGTTGACGGTTCAAGTTCACCAGCCACTCCTTGGAAACCCTATATAGGGTCACTATGAGTCGGAACTGACCTGATGGCACTTAACAACAACAATATGCTCACTTTAGGACTCTGTTGTATCAATCAGTGTGTCTTCATTCAGCTCTGAAAAGTATTCCGTAGATACACGCATTTCATGTGCCTGAACTTCACAATCCACTGGCCTTCCGTGTTGTGATAGCACTAGTTCCAGCCTTCAACCTAACCTGCTTGAGTGACTTTGACAGAATTGTTGGCCTCCTCTCTCAGGCCAACTTACAACACAGGCAGCCCTAGACGATGTTGCTTTATTTGCATTTTCTCTGAACAGCTTTAGTGCTCCAATCTTGCACATACTGGAAGTATATTGATGACCTCAGTGTTCCAGTTGAAGTTGGAGGGTCAGCATGTCTGGCAGTGTTGTGCTGATAAAGAACTTGACACTTTTTGAAAGCCTCACCCCTGCCGTGTGTATAGGTAGGTATGTGTCTTATCCATCCACTCCTACTAATCCAGATTTCCATCTTTGTTTCTACAGTGAGGGTTCCCTATTTCATTGACTTGAAGAAGCCTCAGGATCAAGGCTTGAATCATACCTGTAACTATTACCTTCAGCCAGAGGAAGATGTGAAAATAGGTGTCTGGTGAGTTTGATAGGCACCCAGGTATCTAGGAGACGGTGGGGGCCCTGGGTGGCATTGACACTGACCTGGATGTCAGATTCTGAAACTAGTGCTTGTACATTTTTATCTTTACTCTTTCCTTTTCCAAGGGAAATCCTCAGCTATGTTTGATCTGAATGGTATAAAAAAATTTTTAAATGAAATAAACTCTTATTTGGAGTTTTTTAAAACAGCAAAGACTTTGTGAATTGGGTTATTTTTTGTAGAGAACTTTATTTCTGGGAAAGAAAAAAACAAACAACAAGCTAGAATAGACAAGAATCTAAGCAAAAAATCACAAGCATATATTTAACGGTAAACTTTACTTTTCAAACAGGCAAGTTTCTAGATAGTGAAACCGGCTTGATTTCTTCTCATATCTAACATGCTTTGGCAACTGGTGATGGTATCATTTGTTGTCTTCTTAACATTTATTTAAAAAAATAATGCAGACGGGTCCCTTGTGATACAATAGTGAATAATTGTTATCAGGGCTGTTTATGAGGGTCGGAAATGTAAAGGTAGATGTTTTATAGCAAGGAGGGGAGTGATTAACTTTTCAGTCTAGAAGCGGAGAACTTTATTTCTGGGAAAGAAAAAATTTAACCTAAAAAGGTTAAATTTAAATTAGACTTAAGCTTGGTGACTTATTTTTGTCTCCGTGAGATACATTTTAATGTTTTCTGCTATAAACAAGTGGGTGTTTCCAAATAACAGAATCTTTGTACATGATTGACCAGCCTGCTGTGGCATTTTCATTCTTCTGTCAGAAGCAATTCTGAACCACTGCTCTTTCTTTAACTCTCATTATTTTTCAGGAGCCATAAAGGCTCTTTATGCTGTCTTAGAAAAGCACTGTGTATGTGAGAAGCTTCTTAATTACATAAGAATAGCATCAGGATAGTTTTAAATAGAATTCAGACATTCCTAGTAATGCCAGGAAGACCTGGCCCTTGGTAATGAATCTAAAATGACATAGGTTTCTGTGCTTAGAAGTTGGTTCATGAATTAAAATCTCATGTCATTTTCTGTCCTGATTTACTCTACCACTGACTGACCAATGTATGCATATTGGACACTTCCATATTCTGTCTTCTGTCGAATGTTTGATTTGTTTGGCTCAGGGCTATGTAGTAGAACTTGGTCAGTTTTCTTGTTGGTTTATCTGTGTGTCTGTGTTTTAAAGAATTGAGGAGTTGATCAGAGTTTTCACTCAGATGTTGTTAGGTGCTATTGAGTTGGTTTGGACTCGTAGTAGCCGTATGCATAACAGAAGGACATACTGTCTGATCCTGTGCCGTCCTCACAGTTGTTGTGCGTGAACCCATTTTTTGTTTTGGTTTTTAACTTTTTATTGTAAACTGAGTGAACGTTTATCGACCAGATCATTGGTTTTATATTCAACAAATAATTTGTTTCATTTCAATGATCACAATCCTCTCCATGTAATATCAGTTATTGCACTTCCTCCCTATGATTCTTATTTTCTATTCCACCTTCCTCGCCAGGCAGTATCAACTCATAGCGACCTTGTATAGGATTTCTGAGGAATAACTGGTATGTTCGAACTGCCAACCTTGTGGATTACAGTCCAGTGGTGATCCTATAGCATCATACAAGTCCTTAACCCCACCTTAATCTTTACTTCTTAGCAACTCACATTTCAAAATGGGTCCATAATCAAAGACATAGAGTCTAGGATGTACAGTATATTGCAAAGTGGAGAAATCTGGCTAGAAGGGCCATAATAAATAATAACTACCCTGCACCAAGCATCATAGAGTTAACTACACTGTTTGAGATCTTATCTTGGCTTAGCCACATTTCAGCTGCCACACCACTGGGAAGCCTGGCCCAGTCAAGTTGAAACAAAGCCTTAACTATTACAGTAGTGGTAGTCTAGAACTGGAACCATTGATTGATTCTGGTGTCAGGGTTGTGCAGATTGATGGTCACACTTTCCGTTAGCCCATTGGACTGATGGAATGTCTTCAATTTTCTTTGCTTTTCACTCTTTTTTTTTTTTTAAACGTATGAAGAGACAGAGTTGTACCGTAGGTGGCTGTTCCTGAGCTT